ACTGAATTTCAGGTAGTCACCCCTTGGCACTTACCCCATGTTCCAAACATTCAGAAATTCATTCAGTGGCTAATAAAAGAAAGTGAAGCACAAGACCAGGATGTGCAGTACTGCTCTCTGTCATCACATTTAGTCACCCAAAATTAACATCAGTAACTTAGGTCTCTCTTACCTCAGTCTCCAAAACAGATCACAAGTCAGTGATCTCAAGAATGCCTGACTGAAAGCTGAAATAAAAGCACAGCAGACATCTGCCCCTCAGGGCACAACCCACCAAAAGTATGGACCAGAATTCCTTCAATACAAGAAGAAATTGTATAAATCCTATGTACAGCCCAACAGCACAGCAGGGTTTGGTACTAGGATTCCTTTCAGATTCATGTTACTGAAACTGTGTGTAAGACAACATGCAATTCTAAAAATTGAGGAAGAATGCAGAGAGAAAAAAATAAATCAGCAATAGCTTTGAAATACAGGGAGACATGGGCAATGTGATAGTACGAGATATCAGTCAAGTGTTTAGCATAAAACAGCCATAATTCAGTTAACATTGAGAATCAAACAGGAAGAAGAAGCAGAAAGTTTTCAGAAGCCATATGCTTCACTCTATGTTACTATATTTCCACCATCCTCAACACACTTGACAAAACAGAGTATAAAAAAATACTGTGTTTTCTTTGCTCAAACGAAACCTCACTACGGTCTGTAAAGCATCATCCTACTTCCAGGAACAGTACTTTTGTCATAAGAAATACAAATGAAATCTATGCCAGACACAATAAAACTGCAGAAAGACTTCCTCTCTCTACAGTTAACTATCAAAAATATTTAGGAACATGATCATAGCTAGTGAATTCAAATTTTACACCTTCAACCACAGGACTGCCTAACACACTGAGACAGACATTTTTCCCTCCCATTAAACCAGGTTAAAAAAAGTGCAACCTGATGATTCAGATCTGGAGGCTAAGAAAGTATTTGTCTTTCCTTCATTTAACTTTGGATTAAAATAGTGAGTGACTCTGTAACAAGAATTCCATTGAACATGCATCTTCTGCAGGAATAAAATGTATTTCCTGTATGATAAAGCAGAAAAACAAAACCATAAGGTTCACCATAGAGTACTACTTCGGGCAAACCTTAAGGCTCAAGAGAGATCAAAGCTCGCTCAACATGGGAAACATTTCATTGTTTTTAATGCAAAATGCTACACTCAGCCAGGCTAAGGACTCTTCCAAGCTCATCTGTTGGAAGCTGGGAAGGGAGAGGAAAAAGGCTTTATCAGTTTATCTTCAAAAAGAAGCCACAATATCATGCAGGTTTCACAAAGACAGCTGGACAAAAAAGGAAAAAAGAGAATTTCAAGAGAATTGAGAATAGAAACAACTCCATCCGAGGGAGCTGCACAAAGTTGTTCACATAACCTATTTTACAAGTTTTACTTGTACAATCTAATGAGAACATAAGTAAAACAAGCTCAGCAAAATACTTATGATGTTGTGAAAGTAAGCTGAGCAAGCCATGAGATCTTAGGCATCAGATTGTACCACCTCTGAACTGTCTTCAGTCCCTATTTACCCTTTGCAGCACTGAAAAGTAATGGGGAGAGAGGGCTGAGGGTGCCACACCTGTGGAAGGAACAGCCTTGCAGGAGCCCCAGGCAGAAGGGGAGTTCCAAAAGACTCGCAGTTCAGATGGCCAAAATCAAAGAGCATGGACTTTCATGTCAGAGCAAAACAGACAAACCCTTTGTACAATTCTTGTAAAATATGAACCTGAAGTAATTGCAAAGCAGGCACCTCACAACCTTTCATCCCAGCTCTCACTTTAATGAACGTAACTTGTTTAGGGAAGTTATATGAAAAACAGTACAAGTCCAAACTAGGTCTTCTCTGAAAACCAAAAAGGATCCAGTGGGCTACAAGTAAACACACTGTATCAGAAAAAAAACCAAATTCACCCAAATTTCCAGCAGAATAACAACACTGCAATGAGTATCACTTGTATTTCCTCTAGCACCTTCCATTCAATAGTTTTGAAGTCTACAAATACAACACAGAGTTTCTTTAGTCTGTCATCTTACAAAGGGGACAAGTCCCTTGGCTTCTCTTTTAGCAAGGTCACACGAGGCTCCAAGCACTGAACACGGGTCTTCAGAGTCCTGGTCATGTGCTTCAACCAAAAAAGCGACAAAGATAAACAAAAAGATTCATAAAAGATCTAAAGTCTTATTCCTGGTCTTTCATGAAGTACCTGCTCCAAGTGCTGGTACTAAACACGACTGAAACGGCAAGCAAACATCACTGCTAACAGTAGTACTACCAATGCTAATTATTAATAGAGCATTAACAGTACAGGGCACACACATTGCGCAAGCACAGTTAATCAGCACTGCTAGGAGCAGCATCACTAGGGGGACACCAGCAACAAACATAAAATACACCAAAAAACGGCATTCTGTGAGGAAAACATCACCTATAACTAAAGTCCATGGAAGAAATACAGAACAACAGCAATCTGCTTCTGGGTTCTGAAACAGTAGTTTAAAAAATTGGAAGAACAAACAAAAAAAATTTTAAAAAATAACAGCTTCAGTTACAGACGAGATTCTTTTGTTCGGTTTCCCATTGGCTTCCTTAGATTTTAGTGGTGAGCCTGTAGCTCCCAAGTCCCCTTGAATGATCAAACCCTTTTGCAAGTCATGGCACCAGGAGCTTTACAGAGGACTGGCCAAAACAAATGTAACAGTCTAAACTTCAGAATTTTCATGCCTTTTTTATTATAAACAGTTTTCAAAATCACCACACGGCTAAAATTGCAACCAGAGCACAGCAGAACAGAGCCTGTCCAATTCCCACTCTTCCCTACGTCCTCGGAGGTACCAAGACTGTTGAGGTTATAAATACACAAGCCAGCTCACTTTCCAGACTCTACATCAAAATTGGTTTACACCAGTTAATCCAGTTTCTCCGTGTAACCCTCCAGGAGTCCCCATCATTAATCCTGCAAAGTGATTTAGCCCTGCTTGCTTTCAAGTTACCTAGTGTAAGGTTAAAAATAAATTCTTTAAACAAGTTAGATCAAACCACCACAGAGAGACTGGGCTCAGGTATAAATACTGAGTCAGCCAGGTAGGAATCCAAACCCAGATTCCATCAGAGAATGTGATAAAACCAAGGGAATTGCTAAAAGGGCCTGGTAAATATTAAAAAAGCAAAACCAGGAGGCTGAGTCGCTGCTGTTTTTTGTGAAGGGCTCTGTTTAAACGGCAAGCACTGCTCCCCCTCCTTTTCCTTCCCTCACATCCAGCTCCAATTTCTTCACTTGGAAAAAAACAGCTGCTCTCAGGCCAGGACGGCCCCTCCATTCCCTTTCCACAGCTTCCCCTCACACAGCTCCACAGCAAACCCCAAGTTTCTGCTCCACATGACATCATGTACCCCTGAACACAACCAGGAGGGCTCTGCAAATCTACACTCCTGGTATTAACAAATCTACAGGAGAGAAGCTTCAAACCAGTCCACCCTGAGCAGCTCCCAGGTGGCACTCAACAGCACTGCAGACATTCCAGCACATGCTTTTGAACCTATTCCACATACAGAGTTCAGATCCTCGCCACCAGCCTCAGATGTGCAGCAGGTCCTTCCCACACCCAGCTTCTTGCAGAGGAGTATCTACCAGCTCACTTCCCTGATGCAATTTTCTCCAGCAACAAGAGAAACACAGATTTTTTTTGTTGTTGTTTTTAAAGGCAACATGAGCCAGACCAACAGTAAAGCCCTGCCCTGACACCCAATTCAGAGCAACCAGACACAACCGACGGCGAGAAAAGACCAGGTGGAGCAGGTTAACAGAGAGAACGGTTCATTCATTGCCATGTCCTCAAGTAACCCACTGTGTGTGCCGAGGTGTCATTGTCTGTAGCTGTGAGCCCCCACCACCAGCGAGAGAGCAGCCGGGAAGGGGACGGGCAACAACATGGAAGTAAAGCCCTGCGCAAGACACAGATCGATACCTGTTCACCCAGCTGTTCCCTTCCGAGCTGCCGCCTCCCCTCTGCCCCGACTCCCTCCGCCAGCCCCACTGGACCTTCCGCTGTCACCTCCTTCTCAACGCCCAGAGTCACAGGACTGCACCCGCCAGGAGGAACCCGGGAGTGAGGGGATGAGACGGACCCTCTGCCCGCTGCGGGCGCGGAGCTCTCCCGCGGGTGTCCGAACACTCTGAGGGGCCGGGCGGCTCCCGTGCGCGCGGGTGGCGCTGCCCGCGCCCGCGGCGCCTGCCCCGACGGCTGAGAGGGCGGCAGCGATCTAGGCCATGGTGAAGCTTCCCCTGGGGCGGCTGCACGGAAAGTAGGCGCAGAGCTGCGTCCCCGACCCAACCCGCCGCGGCGGGGCGGGCGCGGGGCGGCGCCGGACGCGGAACCGACCGATCCCCAAGCGGACGGGGACGGACCGAGGACGGAGCGGTGGCAGTCGCGGCAGACTAAAGCGGGCCGGGCCGCGGGGGCGCCTCTGGGGGATGCGGGGCCGTTGGGGGGGGGCGTTGATGGGCGCCTCCGCCCCCGCGGCGCGCGGTGACCTGCCGGGCGGTCAGAAAGCGGCGGCGGCGCCTCGACCGGTCACGTGAACCCCTTCTCCTCCTCTCCTCCTCCTCGCACGCGCCGCGCGGGCTGCTCTGCCTCCGCCCCCGCGCACGTGACGTGACTGACAGACGCCATCGCGCGGAGCCCCCCGTGTGTCAAGCTCCCCGCCCCGCCGGGCGCGCGCGCACCCTCACCTGAGCAACCGCAGCTCGCGACCATCCACCAGCCTCGCTTCGCCTCTGCCCCCCCGCCCGCCCCCTGGCGACACGTCAGCACCGCGCCGCGGGGGAAGCCCCGCCCTTCCTTTCGCCCTCGCACAGTGATCGAGGCTCCAACCTCCTGCCAGCGCGCGCGCTCGGCGGCGGTAAAAAGGGGCGGGGCGTGGGAGGGCCCCGCCCAGGGGCGGGATGAAGGAGCCCGGGGGCACCTCCGTGAGGGGCCGCGTGAGGGACCCCCGGGAGGCACCGCCCGTGAGGGGCCTTCTGACGGGCTCCCCTCTGAGGGACCCCTCCCCATGAGGGACTGGCGTCTGAGGAACCCCCACTGGGGCCCTCCAAGAGAGACCGTCTGAGAGACCCACGGGGGGACCGTGTGAGGGAGCCCCGTCTGAGGGACACCTCGTCGGACCCTCTGACAGGGACGGTGTCAGATACGCCCTGAGGGAACCCGCGAGGGAGAACGATGTGAGGGATCCCTTGAGGGATTCCCCGAGAAAACCCCTCGGGGACCTCTGAGGGATGCCCTACCCCCCGAGTACCCCCGTGAAGGACCGTGTGAGAAACCCTCCTGAGTGACCCTGTGAAGGAGCCCGCAAGGGTAACCCGTGAGGGACCCCTGTGCATTGGGAACGGGCGTTCTGGAACCAATTCTGCACTTGAGTTAATGTAAATTAATGTAAGCATCTCGCTGTCTTGCCAGGCTGGGCACAGCTAGGCACGCTGTGGACATGGAGAAATCCAGGACAAAGGATAGCTGCACCACGGGAGGAGAAGGTCAAGAAGCGTATGGTGCGGACTAATGAAGAACGTTGAGGGGGTAAACTGAACTATGATGGATGGCAAAAATGGATAGTCAATAAAGTTTGACTCCCTCAGGAGAAAATAAAAGTAAAAAGCTTTTTCCCTTTAAGCTTTTTCCTGCTGTGTATTTTTTCCACTGTTTACGGCACCTTTGGTTGCCCAAAACGCAGCGGTCATACCCTTAAAGCATCCCTTCTTTGCAAGGCCTGGCAAGACCTTTGCAAGGCTTTAACAGCCAGCCTCATTCATCCTCTGTGGGAGTTGGTCCCTGCTTGGTGCTGAGCAGGCAGGGCTGGTGAAGGTGATGTTCAGCCTCTGGTGCCTCCAGTGAAGATGTCCCATGGTCCTTGACCTTTGCTGTGGTCTGATTTCCTTTACTGCTGTTTGCTCATCCTCTATCCCTTGACCCTGTACTCGCCATGTAAGAAGAGAAGGCATGAAATCTGATATTACCCTAAACAATATCTGAAAATTAATCACTGTATTTCATGCTGCTTCTTTCTCTGCTTAGAGTAGATTTAACCAGACTGCATTCTTGATACTTATTGCATAGATGGGCAGAAGCTAAACAGATCCTACTGCTGAGAAGCTGCAAGACCTCCCTATTTCCATCTTTTCTCAGTAAGATAGAGGGTTCTTTGAGCTAAATTGAAATTCAGACCAAACAGAACACAGGTACTGTTGATTTTCTTCATGCAGTTGTTGATATTTCGTTTTATTACTATTGGGGGGAGACAATTACAGCTTTAATTACAGCTGTAAACAAAGTTTCACAAGCTTTGTGACAAACATGTCTGCAGATCCATAATCTGTGTGGATTTAATCAGTATTATTAGCATTCTTTTATCATGACTTGGCAATCCTTTGATAATCAAGATGGATATTTGATGTGCAGCGTAAAACAACAAAGGCTGAGAGCTCTTGGGATGCTGTAGTCAGATGGCGTGGTGCCAGCTGGAACATGTCTCCAAAAATCACACAGAATCCAGCCCAAGAGCATTTGGAATAGGAAAAAAATTAAACGGGGATGTCAGAATCAAAGCATTGTAGATTCTCTCTGCTGTACATGGAGTAAATATAAATGAGAAAATGGCATACTGCACTACCAAAGCTTCCAGAAGAGAGCCAAAGGAATAAACTGATGGAAGCTCAAGACCTTCACTCCAAGTATTCATCAGGAGGAATTTCTTCACTGAAAGGGTGGTGAGGCATTGGAAGGGGCTCTCCAGGGAGGTGGAAGAGTCACCGTCCCTGAAGTGTTCAAGGAATGACTGGATGTGGCACTCGGTGCCTCTGTTCTACTTAACAAGGTAGTGGTTGATCACAGGTTTGATTCGATATTGGAGGGTTTTCCAAACTACATAAATCTGTGATTCAGCACATTGAGCTTGGAGAGGAGACCCTGCACCAAACACAGCAAAGGTTTGACCAGTTCTAGCAGGCAAATTCTACCTACTGCCTGCGTCAGGATTCTAATCTGCTGTTACAAGGATTTGCAACCTCTTCAGTTTTCCAGCCGCTAACGAACAGCCCGGTGCAGGTGCAAATCCCAACAGGCTGTCTAAGCTTAGTGCAGGATTGCTTTTCTGAGTCCCCTACTACAGATTTCTGAAATGGGCTGCAAGCCATGTACCACAGGCTGGAAACCATCGTTGTGGTGCTTTGGCGTATTCTCCTTGCCAGTCACATTCTTGAGTGGGGGAAACTGCTCGTGTTAAGAATATCTCCTTGTTCCTGGTTCAGGAGTCTGCTCTACTTCTGTTACAGTCGGAAAGGAAAACTGTCTCTTCTTCAAAGGCTCGGGCTTCAGTCTGTCTTCCCTTTTGCTAATGCTCTTGTCTACTTTCCACACTACCAACCCTTCCCCCTCAGGCTCGTTGGACAATCAGTCTGACTGAGCTGAAGTGCAGAGCAATCTTTTGCTGCTTATTCTGAAGTTTTTATTTGCTTTGTGCCTTTTTTTTCCCAACAGTAGCAACTCTTGATCTAATAAAATATTGCTCTTCCCTACAAACTGTTCTCTCTTAACCCTGATGACACCTGCATCAACAGCACTGCCTTTCTCCAAAACATATTCCAGCCAGTTGTGCCACAGGCTCTGTAAGGGAGAGGCCCTGCATGAAGAAACCAAGCTTTACTTTCAGATTTGAGTTTGCAGGGAATCTGTGTAGAAGGCCAGAAGATAAGGGGCCTAATGTGTCTGTCTCAAATACTGATAGCCTGCGCTGGCTGTGGAGCCAACCAAGGATTGTTGGTAATAACAGCCAAGGATAGTTGGTAATAACACACTGTGAGAACAAACAGGATGAGGCCAGAGAGGTAGGTCAGCGCTTTTCTGGGACGAACGTCCTTGTTCTGGTTCCTGGGGATAAGCCCAACACAGAACAGCACAAGGGCAGGACTGAGGTCGAGAGGGGGGATTGGGCTGTAGGGGGATATCGAGAACTCCAAAGATCCCTGAAGCCTCTGACCCGTTTCCAGAAAGGTCTGGAAGAATAGACTGTGCATGAGAACGAATTTTCATAGAAAGTGAGAAACTTAACTCCGGGGCAGGGAAAACTTATCTATAAAATGGTCCCCCCATGAAGCCCATGTGCATGTTCACCCCAGGACCTGGACACCCCATCAGCGGGATCAGCACTGGAGCCAGGACTGGTGATCCCTCTTTCTCCCTGTTTCTTTCTTTCTTCCTTTCTCTCTTCCCCTCTTTAAGTCATCTCTGTCTCTTTCTCTCTTCCCTTTCATCCTTCCCCTTTATCCAAAACCCACTGCCATATGCTCATAGGAGGTCAGGCACTAACATAACAATTTCCATGCCAAGTGTGTAATTTACTAATAGAACTTCATAAGATTTTGTGGGCTTTTGTCATTCCTTTTGACCACAAGCATCTACAAATCTTGGGCACTCCCTTCCCCTGGAGGGTGGGATGCCACAATCTGGAATTCCGTCTAGTTACAGTAGAACAGTTGAAAATCTTGGATGCATTGTTGGGTTCTCTCAAGAGAACTGTCACAAGGATTTGATAACAAGAGATGTTAGCCTTGGGCATAGCAGGGATTGCTGCTGCATTTAGATGTGGGGTGAAACTCCTGAAGACGCTGCCTGGAAATGGGATCCAGTGTGTTGGACTGTGTTGATGGGCCGGCACAAGGAGGGCTTCAGCAACAATTCTGCTTGGAAGGGTTGCCATTTCCGCTGAGGAAGCAAGTCCTTCTGCCAGAGATGCCGTTCACGGTGTCAAAGGCAGGAAGGATAATGATATCATTGTGTCTGGCCTTCATAAAGCCCAGGCCATTAAAATTCCTGACATCCATGGAGTGCGTTAGTCCGTCATGTCTCAGCATCATCCTGGGAATGTGTTGAGCTGCTTGATCATTCTTTAGAGTCATTGTGTGCCTGGAGACAGACCCTCTGCTGTAGGTGGTGCCTGCAGTCCTTGGTCCAGGTTTTCTCACCTTGTAATTTGGCTATATAAGAAAGGTGATGCATTTTCATGTGACTAGAATCTGAAATTGCTCTGCACAACCACCTTAACCCCACTGCTATTTTTCATTCCTCCAACCTCTTTCAGAAAACATTTTATCTGCAGTGACTTTGTACTTATTTCCAGATTCTGAGACAATTCAACATGTCTGAACCTGATCTGATCCAGCAGAGCCTTGCTTAAACACCACTTTGGAAAGGGACGGTGGCAGTGGTTAATCTGTGTAGTGTGTGCTCTGTTAATGGTGAGTGCTGAGTTTGTGCTGTCATACTCCTTGATTTCATTCTGTGACATGCCCACTGTTACCTCTACCAGCCAAACAATTTCTAAGAATTAAATAGGCTTTTGTTAAACAGACTTATTTTCCACACAGCCCTGTTGCTTGGCATTAAATGTATCTAGCCTTGAATTATCTGTTTAGTCCCTTATCACTTTTCTGGGTTTTTTGCCTATGAATCAAAGAAAGTAGTCCACAGGCCACTTAGTGCCCTGCTCTAACAGTGTCGTGCTTCCAGCCTCTTAAAATTTCCAAAGATTAAAATCATGTCCATGAAGCCAGAAGTTTCCCCACCCAGCTCTTAAAGAACTTGGGTGGGCAGAGTTAGAGTAGATGATGACTGAAGGTCTTTTAAACATCCTTGCACAGTGTTGCATAGGGAATCTTGCAGCACTTTATCAAGCTAGATTTTAGTGGGCCTGGTGAAATCTCAACCTTCCTTTAATTAGGTAATATAAATGTTCCTGTAATGAATGTAATAAACTTAGAGTACTGTAAAGTTGAAGTTGGATTTGTACCATTTTCTGTTTTCCCCCAAACATCGTCTTAGGATAAATTACAAGCATTTTTATCCTGTGATATATTTTACAAAAATGTTTTGAATAGCGTGTCAAAGGATATTTGCCAGCTCTGGTTAAATGTCAGTCATCTGTTTTCAATTTTAAAAGGGCTTTTTGTAGATGCGGCAACTGGCAGTGGCAGGAAAAAACTGAGCTTGGGAGACCCCAGAGAACTGCAGGCTGGTCAGCCTCCCCTCAGCCCTGCAAAGGTGATAGTGCAAATAGTACTGAAAGCCTCAAACATGCTGAGGATGAGAAGGTGACTGGCAGTAGTCACCCTGGATTTACACTGGGGAAGTCGTGTCTTTCTGACCCAGTCACCTGAAATGATAAAATGACTGCCTTGATAGATGAGGGGAGAGGAGGGGCAGAGCTGCTGGGTTCAAGGGGTTGAGGTCTCTGGCACAAAGTCCAGTGGGAGGCCAGTTGCTGGCGGTGTGACCTGGGTCCTGGGGCCAATACTGTTGAGTATCTTCATTACAACAGTGGGACAGAGTGCAGCAAGTTCACAGAGAGAGCACAAAACCAGGAGTGGCTGATGGACCAGACAGTGTGGTGCCATTCAGAGGGACCTCAACAGGCTGAGGCCAACAGAAATCTTATGAAGTTCAACAAAGGGAAGTTATGCACCTGGGAAGGAATAATTCCATATGCCAGTTTGGGGCCAACCATCTGTAAAGGAGCTTGGCAGAGAGGGACATGGAAGTACTGGTGGACAGTGGAACATGAGCCAGTCGTGTGCCCTTGAATCAAAGGCAGACATCCTGCATTAGGGGGAGAGCTGTCA